TCTCCCACCTTCAATACCACGACTGAGGTGCCCTTGAGCAAGGCACCGAACCCCCAACTGCTACCCGGGCGCCGCAGCATAAAGTGCTGCCCACTGCTCCGGGTGTGTGTTCACTGCTGTGTGTGTGCACTTAGGATGGGTTAAATGCAGAGCACTAATTCCTAGTATGGGTAACCATACTTGGCCACATGTCACACTTTCAAAACATTTGATTTCTTCTGCTTTAACCATTTTGACCACTGGCCAACCTACTTATGCGTTTTGGGTCCCAACCTACTTATGCGTTTTGGGTCACTTTCTGTGGGGTTTCAGTACAAAGACTGACATAATTGACATTTTCACATGGAATTAAAAGATTAAACTATCCTGGGTTATGTTTCCCAAAAGCATTATTAACCTAAGTAGATAGTATAGGTAGAAAAATGGTGCCATTTGTTTCTATAATCTTTTTTAGGCTGCTTTTGGGAAATGCAGCCCAGGTCCAGAAGTAGAAAAATCACTCCAAAGCATATACTGCCTTCATTGTACATTACAACTGAGTATTATTATTTTAAAAGTAACACCTCTCATTTAACCCAAAAGTACTGTTTTTACTAATTTGTCCACAAAACATTCTTCCAGAAGTCCTATGCCAAACTTTAGACAGGCAGCAATTTCTAAACCCTCCTTTTTAAGAAACCCTGGTGAACTTCAAATAAGTGAAGTTTATTTAACTGAAGCATGACAAACTTTCAACAACTATAGTGTGAAAACCAGATTTGTATAGTGAAGACCCAGTTTCTTTTTATCCAATTTATTGAAACACCTGACTCCATTTGCCCTTTTTAAATGAACTTTTTTTCCAGTAAATATATATTTACTACTGGAACCAAAAAGGTTTGTGTATTATTTAATTAAATTCTCATAAAGCAACACTATGTAACTTTTGGCGCTCTAGCGGTTAATAAACAGAACTGCACACATGCCGCGGAAGAACATTCCAACCGGAGCTACTTCTCTAAATTTATGTCTATGGCGATTCACGCAGGTATGTGTTACTCCGCAGCGGTGACGACCCGACCAGGCTACAATAGTCCAAATATAAGTACTTATTATAAGTGTACCGTAGTGATCCGGAATAAGACAAAAACGCGAAAGATGAATGTATGATGTACTCGCTCATTATATACATTTAGCAAATTTTGAACACAGAAAAAGTTACATAGTGTTGCTTTAATCTAGTTATAGTATTAGCCCCACTATTTTTTCATCTCCTTTTCCTTTTTAACTCCTTTTAAATCTCCATTTTAACTCTATGACTCATAAAACCCAGTGTTGCAATGTTTATGTCAGCAGGAAATACGTTGTGGGTTGTCAAGGTTTTTCCTCAACCACAATTAAAAATAAATAAATAAATAAAAAGTTTACACGAATAACAGCTCAGGGATGATGCATTTGCACGCAAACTGATTAATTGCAGTACATTTATAATTTCATCTTCTGTTATGACAGAAAATCCCAGACTACAAATTCTGAAACTTCAGTGCCCCGCATTCATTGGCTGAACCAAATGAAAATGTGAATCCCTGCACTCTCAAACATCACAAATACACTCTTTAATAAAAAATAGGTTCCAAAAGGGGTTTTGTTTAAAGTGAGACTTTATTGAAGGAAGAGGAAACGCTGCAGTGATCAACACGCAAGTACCCCAGTCCCCCAACATCATTCGTCGTAGTGCCTAGTGAGATGAGCACAGGTTACAGGTCAAACCGTGTGGAAGAAGCTTTAAAACACTGCCAGGCTCACGTGTGTGATGGTAATGTTCAGTATTGTTGAGCCATCTGTCAGTCTTGTGAATAAGTTAAGATGAATATAAATGTTTCTGAGAACATTTTGTTCATTCAAGTGTCTCAGAGTAAAAGGCGGTTGTAAAATTACAATACTTTGTGACGATACATTGGATTTAATTAAAAGTTCTAGCAAAGTAAATGTATATAATTTAATATAAGGCATTATATGTATTATATTCATATTCTAATATACATCAAATTCCTCGAGTTTGATTTTAAGAGGTAGACGACGCAGTTTTGTTCTGACAACATACTATATACGTCTTTTTTAAGGTGCGGTCACCTGCAGTACTACATTTAGCCAAAAGGGACCACAATCCAACAGTTTTTCTCTTGGTTTCTTGTGCTACTTACAATGCACATAAAAAAAAATGGATTGCATATTTCTCATACTTCCAAAGGATCCATTTGCATAAATGAAACTACAACATAATGTAAGCATATTAAGGCAACTGAACTGTTGGGACATTAAATTATAAATATTAAGGAATGATTTGAAACAATCAGCCACCAGTCTCTCACAGCTTTATCAGTCTCTACCTCACTTTAAAAGGTGTGTGTTGTCTCTTGAAGCTGTAATGTTGGCCAGAACAGATAAGAGCAGGCAACAGTGAGCACAGATGTAGTTGGCTGCCTCTGAGTTACCAGAGGACCGGACAGTCAAGGTTACTGAATCCAGGATCTTTCCTTAACTCCCAGTAAGTGTTGTTGCTCACCCAGGTGTCATCTTTGGACTTCCTGTTGGTGATAAAGCAGAAAATAGTTTTAACAACTAACTGGATTTTGCTGTGTAACGTATTTTTCCTAAAAAGACAGCAAGTAGTATAGTTCGTTCATACTGGAAGAATCGAGGTTGATGTGTCATGTGGTTCTCCTCCAGGACTCTGCGTCTCTCTCGCTGCAGCTGTTCGATTCTCTGCTTCTGCTCCTCTGCAGATTCAACGTTCCCTTCCTCCAATAACCTGCAGACACAAACAGTCTCATATGAAATTCATTTGTCCTTGCATAACATGACTGATGCATTGATGTCATCGTCTGGTGGCCCTGAAGGTTCTGTCCGCTCTCATCAGCTGACACATTTATGTCAGAATAACTCCAACTATGTGTGTCAAAATTACTCGTAGCATAGTTTTTCTACAATATCCAAAAGAATTGTCACACTTCAGTATGAGTTGTAAAATTACAATAACAAAACTTATAATGGCAACAGCTTAGCTCATCAATATTAATTAGATCATTGTTATTAGTGTGCACTCAAATAACTTCATATTCATGGCATATAATTTTTAATAATCACATTTTAGTTTCTTCTGAGATACTGCAACTTTAAAGTACTAATAACTGTCCAGTTTATTTGGCAGTGGTATCATCTACTGCAATATTGTTAATTAAAACTAACATTAAAACTATTTAAAAAAAATATTTATTGAAAAAAAAGAAATAGACTGAAATATAAATATCAGATGATAAAAAAATAAATTAAAAGTTAAATTAAACTAAAATTATTAAAACTAAAACCTGAAATACAAATAAATTAAAGCTAAATAGAAATATTGTTAAAAACAAAAAATAATAAAATGACAAAAGCACATAGCAAAATTACCAAAACTTAAACTAAAATTCAAATAAAAATGTAAAAATAAAAGATTAAAAATTAGGAAAATCTAAAATTAAAAATGATAAAGCATTAGAAATATTAATAAATACTATTATAGAATATAAAAAAATATAAAAATTACCTTGATCTACTGCCCATTGGATATTCTGACTCTAGTTTCACATTATAAACCAAGGTCAAAACAGTTTTTAATATTCAATTTATTATTACATTTTTTTAAGTTTTCATAAGTTTCATTTATTCTATCATTGTTCATTTTAGTTCATTTTTTAATTATTTAGGCCAAAGTTAAACCAACTGGTATCATTTAAAAAATACATTATATTTATCAGCACAGTATAGTGTAATTGCTGTTAGCTGCATTTTCATGTTCAACTTTTTTCTTTTCAATAGTTTAAGTTCAATAAGTTCCAGTTAAGTTTTTATATAAGCTTTCATTGGCAATATAGATGTAAGTTTTTACCTCTGGTCGAACCGTAGTCTGGTGTCTGTGGGTGGAAGAAGTGGTTTGGTAAGAGGGTCAAGTTCATTGAGCTCCATAGCAAACTTAGTGAAACTGTAGTACTGCTCATAGTCAGGAGGCATGGGATCTGTCCACATAAACACACACAAATAAAAGCTGATGATAAAATGTTTTTCTGAAATAATAAAGAACTACTAAACACTAGCAACTGTATTGTCTGTGAAATACATCATCCAGCGGGCACCAGAAAAACGAGGCGCATCTAAAAAAAGAGGGCAGACTGTGTGTGTGTGTGTGTGTGTGTGTGTGTCTTGGTTCCTACTCGTCCTCCAGATGCATTTAGCAGAGG